GACTGCGCATTATGACCGCCCAAGACTTTACGATACTTAGTTTTTTGTCCTGCCGCGTCATTTCGACGATGGCAGATTGCAGATACTTCCGGGTGGCTTGATCCTATCCGGGCGAATATGCACCCTCTAACTCTACGCAGCCGAGACAACATTAGCTACCCTTGGCCTCTTCCGTAAAAATTCCCTGCATATGCCTTACTACACTAAATGCTGTTCAAAACACTTGGCTTAACTATCCAACACGGTTGGAAGATACCAACGATCCCATCACTGGTGTAGCTGGTATGGCTTGTTCTGGAACGTCCCTAATCAGATAAAAATAAATTGCACCAATCACAGCCCTGAATACCAGACTGGTGAGCTGCATCCACTTAAATATGTGACGGGCGTGAGTGAGTGTACTCGTCAAGTCCTATAATTGCTTATATATGCTAACCGGAGCAAAACCCTGGTCGGCGAGCATCGGACAAACATGTATTAAGCGCACTCGCGCAAATACAAACTATTAGGTTCCACTTGTTGATGTAAGCAACTGATCTGTTTACCACCGTTCTTCACCGGTCTCTGCATCTCGCCATTGCGAGCGCACTAGTACCATTTTTGAGCAAGGATAGTGCTACCGGGCTGGCGCAGTCCGGTCAAACTTTCCGGCGTTCATCGGCACCAGTACATTATCGGGCCCGAAATACACGGTGGCTATGCACGGACCAAACTACACCGTTCGGAGCGGAGTTCTCGCTACGAAAATTGCCAAGGGTCGACTCAGGCGCATAAAAACTACCGAGTTATCCTCAGTGAAAACCCGGCCAACGTATTCCGCAAAGTTTCTATTAAACTCTCCCCAGTGTTACTATCATATCGACCGGCCACTTCTCAAGTCAACAGTCGGCCTCCTGAGCGGTGTTCATGCCAATGCCTTAGACACTGAGCTTTCTGAACAAATATGATGGGCCCAACCTCTCAACAGCATCGAATACACTCTATATTGGCCTGGAGATATGCCCATTACATGAGAATCATGTTTCCCTCAAAAAACCCTGTGTTATAATGTATACAGTAACTATTGTTTTAGTGAACCAAAAATATGAAGGTGTAGAAAGTACGGCTGCCTTAGTTGAGTCAGTACACGCAATCTTCCTATTGACCAGTCCTTTTCTGCGGGTTTCGGTACAGGCGCGCGGCGTTTACGCGTTCACCTGCTTTCGTTACTATACCTATTCGGAATCAAGCCAATCCATAACGGATTCAAGCTACTCCTTAAGAATATTCAACCCAATTCATAAGCACATCAAGTTGAATCCATCGTCTTCACCAATTGCAAATCCTTACAAGAATACTCAAAACATCTGCATCGGTTGGTGCGTGGGTTAGACTGCAATCTGCTAACAAACCACGTGATGCACACGCGGACGTGAAAACAACACGTGAGCTCATTCAAAGTATGATAGGTGCGGACTGGCACGCGGCATCTATGGACGGTTGAGGAAGTACTGTAAATTCCACTCACTTACGCGGCACCAAGAATCACAACACAGAGGTGGGCGGCCATCCGCGTTCATAGTGCTCACTAGTACGCGCAGACGACCAAAATGAAATGTACTATACAATGTGACAGTATCGATTGCATTCACTGAAACCACCGTACGTTTGATATGAGTCTTTCGACTATGGTCAGTCGCCGTAGATCAGCCTCGCAGGTCAGAGTGAGATTTGAGCGCACTAATTTTCGGACCCACCAATGGCATATAATTCTACTGCATTTACTCACCTACGCATGTCTGAGGGTGTGAATACGACGTGAGGACGCATAGCGGTGCATGTGTCCTTGAAATATCTTAATCACCCCCGGCGATTTTGACACCGGTCAGTTCAGATTGGGTCGCTGCCGACGTTTTTGGCTGGTGGTTTGCAACCTCTCGACAGCAGTGCATAATGCACTGGCTACCGTGTTCGAAGGTTGGTGGCGCATCGACGGTTGCTTAATATTATCCCAGCGAATGATAAAAGGGTTAGTGACAACGCTGTTGTAGACTGAATGTTACCTTCACATAAACCACCTTAGCAAAATAAGAATTCGTAACAAGTAGACGGTGAAAATATGAGATGCCACTTCTGCATAAATGAGTCCGGAAAAGCTCTCGTTGACAGACTACCCTCGTCACAGTCTTGATAGCAATTGCAGGAACCAAGTGGGGTGCACGCTGTCTAATTTGTTTAACAGTGACCGTGACGGTGTAACATGAAAGGCTGACAGTGTCGCTCAGTCTCTCAGGAAAACGTATGTGTATATCAATCGAACTAATGGTTACATGCTGCCGTGTATGCCAATTAAGATACTACTCGCTGCACGAGTTTGTGGAGAAGGACTGCCGATGAAATCGGTGGCTGTGTTATGCGTCTCTTACGTTCCGCTCTCCTTGTGCTTAGCTCTCTCGCGGTTTAGCCGATGTACACATGTGCGCAGCGGTACTTGCAACCTAATTTTTTAGACGCAATTGATTCTCCTATCTTCGATAAGTGGGTCCTTCAAACGCACTAGTGTAGAGCGGTGCGTTTGGCCCTTCTGGAAAATTAAGCTTATGTTTTCTTTATTTAAGACCCTCTGGATGGCCTCCGAAGGTCCATCTTTATAAGGAATATCTACCCTCCCAATCCACTCGGTAGTACACCGTGGTTGAGGATTTAACATCCGCTGTAAACAAACATAGATTTATGTGCTGTAGATA